CTCGTCTTAACAGTGAGAGTTAAATTCTATTTTAAGCAACTTAAATGTCCACAAGAAATGATATGGTTGTGTTGAAGCTTCGTCTCATTTATCCTTTAGTTTCCAGAAAGGCCTGCACTAGTCCAGTGGTAGTTCTGTGCCAAGAACCTACCACTGATTCCAGCCCAGCCCATTTTGATATTAAACTGCCCTCCACTTTCTTCAGAAGTATCTTCCTCAGATGTTAAACCTCAACAGGAACAATCTGGGTAAAGAAATTTCCTCACACGGATTCAGTGGAAATAAAATAGCTGGTCATAGTCACTGGTTCACTCACTCACTCCTGTGGGCCAGTGCTTGGCTGAGAGCGAATCAACTGCCTACAGCTAGGTCGAGTACTCTAGCTATTTCCATCTGGCACCCCAGGCCTATCAGGTAATATTAAAACTTGCTTCTTCTAAAGGTGAAAAAATAATAATAAATAAGAGAACAAGTTAAATGTTCTGTCATATAAATGAAGTTTCTAAAAAAGTTGCCTAGATTATAGCCTACAGGGAACTCTGAACAAATTCAAATGACAGCATTCACCGAGTCATTGAAAGACCACCCTTGTTTCAGCTCACTTACCAGAAAGCAAACCCTGAGCAGAGGCCTCATTTCTGTGTAACTCTCAACTCGCCCCCAACCCACCCACCCAAAGCCTAGCTCACAGCCTTGCATTCAGCTGGCCCGCCATACGCATGGACACCAGGCTCCTGCTAGTTGGAGCTTTCTTTACTTTGAACATCAGTAGGAGTACCTTTCATAAGCCAGGCCAGCAGCGACACTGGCATGGCCCAGTGCCACCAGGCTATAATTTAGCCCCAAAAGAAGGGAGGGCTGGCCCTTGCCTACTAAGTACAATGTTTAAGAATAATGAAATCTAGACAAGGTTAAGGAAATTCCCCACAATTTGACCCGTTTCTCCTCTAGAATAAAGAAATAAAGAGAAGTCACCTACCCTCGACTTTCTCTGCAGAAGCATCTGGTCACTTCCCTCACACTGTGGCCCACTGAGTGAAGCTGGCCCTGTCTTCCCCTCTTCCATCCGGGCCAGATGTACAAAGGGAGTCAGTGGGACCATTCCAGAGAGTTACTGCCTCACAAAAGACAGTGCTGCTTTATATGGCTGTGCCCAGTTTTATCCTGCTGGTCCCATGATTCTGGGCTGCAAGTCTGTCTGTGTCAGGAGATTTCTTCTCAGAACAGAGGACACAGTGAGTCACTTGATGCCTACAGGGACCAAAACCTATAAAACCTCAACTACAATTGGCCTCACTGAAGGAGCCATGCACCTGGAGCGAACACTCCATTGAACAAGCTCCCATTTCTCAACGGGACCTGCTGTTGGCAGTGCCCGGGCAGGAGGCGCCAGCAGGCGTGCCCTCTGCAGCAAAGCAGCCTGGCATCGTGTGCGGCAGTGTTTGCCTCAGCTCACTTAGGAGCGCAGCAGGGAAGGCCACAAGCAGTGTGATTAGGGGCAGGCTGGACATCAAACAGTTGGAAAAGGACGCTGGACACACAGCAAGGTGGAGGCACACTTGACTGAGAAATCGAGGCCGCTCCTAAAAAATCCTCTCGCCATATTCAGGAGCCCTAATCTCCAGAAGACTTTTTTCCTTTATTTCCCTTGAATTCTCAAGTCCTAGCAGCTGCTGCTCCTTGGCTCAAACAAAGCCATCCCTGTGTGAGCCATAGGGAGAGAGCAAAGCAGAACAGTTCTGACTGCTGTTCACATGTGGCAAGGATCAGAGGGGCTCAAGGTCAGTTTGATGCTTTCTGATCAATTCTTAGGAAGGTAATGTCAAGCCCATCCCCTGGTCCAGTTATATTCGCTGAAATTAAGGTCAATACACACAACATAATAGTGGAAGGCAAGAGGGAAAAGGCCATAGAGGCAATTCTCTGACAAATGCTGAAAACAGAGAACAGGCACTTCCACATACCAACGCATCTCCCATTTTCTAGGGACGTCAACCCATTTTGTCTATGCAATCAACAAAGCAATGACACAAACACCTCCAGAGGGCTGGGCCCAGGGTGCTTGCCCAGTGTGTGTTCTGTGGGATCCCGGGCCACATGGAGCCTGGTGGTCAGTCAGGATGGTACGAGCACAGGGTGCTGTTGCCAGAATGGGACAGCCACTTTGGAAACCTCCACATCACGCCCACAGCCACTGTCACAGGTGCCATCAGGCAACCCGACCAGTGTCTGCAAAAATGTTTGGTTTTTTGGTTTTGGTGGTAGCTCCCAAGAAAGCCCAGTCACATGGGGCTTGCTGCGATTGTACACGCAGGTCAGGGCCTACAGGCCGAGCCGCAGGCCACACAGCCGAGCCACGGAGCATGTGAGGGGCTGGCACGTGCCGCGTCAGATACCCCGAGGAGCAGCCTTACGGAGGATGAAGACGTTTGCCCACTCCGATCCGGAGGCACAGTGACCCTGGGAGACAGGGCAGGGACAGGACCTTGAGACCCTGCGAGCAGAGCTAGCTCAAAGAGGATGACCTGGCTCGGAAGGGAGAGCGGAAGGGAGAGCCTGGCGAAGAGCCTGCGGCCTGGGCAGCTCTGGCAGTGAGAACCCCTCACACCAAGCAAGGAAGCCACATGCGGACAGCCACCAGGCGGAAGCAAAACTTGACCTCCAAGCAAGAGATTCCTTTGAAGTAAAAGCAAACGAAGTCAGCGAAGCAAAGGCCAAGGATCCCCCTTTCCAACCTTAACGCCTTTCAAGCAGATTCTACTTCAGAAATCACTGTTCTTGTTAATCAGCGTGACTAGATGGAAACTGAAATTCAAGTACCAGAAAATGGGGTCTCATGTTGAGAGCTAGATGTCACCTCATTATGTTAGACCTCAGCAGAAGTGGAGCAAAACACCACGTGACCCTGTACAATGGGCTTATGGGAATGAGGCTGCATCCCCAGACGGCCCTCCATGGAGAAGTCTGTGCCATTCCTTACTATGGTGACAGTCAGTTTGAAAGGCCACTTCTTTGATGCGCCACAAAGAGCAAGAGCATGAGACAAGCTAGTTTAGCACCATTTATTAAGTGATCTCAGCTGTTGTAGTAGCTGCTGCGTGTCAGCCTGTTCTTAAAACATAAAATGCTCTTCCAATTCCTCTTGTCCAGGACAGAAGGATCTTCCAGGTAGCACGCCAACAGAACAAGAGACTCCGATGATGCCAGCTTCAATGATGGTGCCATCCAGAGAGGGAGAGGGTCATGGCACATTCAACCGCGGCTTCCAGAGGTTTTGAAAAAGGAGCCTTTGAGGGCCCAGCCTGCCTGGCATTCTAGTGGAAGTGCAAAAGGTTGGCACATTGGGAGAGGAAAGAGGGAGGCGCAAGGAAAAGCAGCATCTGGGGTCAAGGAGGGTGTTCTGGTCCCTGTAGCTGCAGGGCTGGAGCACTAGGCAGACCTCTGGACAAAGCAGCGAGCAGCAGACTAAGGCAAAAGCCCACAGGCTCTCCTAGACTGTAAGGACTTGAACATTTCTATAGAAGTTGGGAAGAACTGCCTCAGGGGTTTAGAGAGGGAGAAAGTGGGGAAGGGAGAGTTGAAAAATACCTCTTTCCCTTTCCTATCCAGGTTGAAAGCTTGCTTTTCGGGGGGTATGGAAGGTGGTATTCGGGGAACCCTGAATGTAAGAGTCCTAGGCAGGTGTAGATGTTCCAGCCTGGACTGAGTCTGGCTGGAGGACAGCAACTACTTCTACCCCAGAACAAAGAATAGGACAAATGTGCTTAGAGCAAAACATGCTAACACAGGACTGCTAAGTCAAGCAACCAGAACCACGGCCAGCTAATAACTCTGGGTGGCTACAATGAGTCATACCCAGCCGTTTGATTATGGACCAAGTCCTATGGCAGTGTTCCAGTTAAAAACTGGCCCTCGGCTAGTTTTAGCTAACTCCACCCACAACATTATCTGTGAATGCATGGGAAAAGACTCCCAAATGGTCTGTCTGCTGAACACCATCATTGGGCTCATTACTAGTCTTTAATAAGAATAACATTATGACGACATTATTTCTAGTGATGATGATGATAGCAATAATACTCGGCCCTGTAAGAGCAGTCTCCATCTGAGGACCTCCCATTACAAAGATTCAATCAGCCTCCCAACAACCCCACTAGGTAAAGTATCACTATCCCCCATTTTACAGATGGGGAAACTGAAGCAGAGCGGCAGAGACCTGCCAAAGGCACACATTGATGCTGGAGTCACAGGAGAGAACTAACCCTAACAGTCCTGACTCCTAGTTGGCCAGCTCTCCATCCTGTTTTGAGAAAACCTAAGAGCCACTCCCCACAACTTCTCCCTAGTAACCTGAACTTAGTTGTGACACAGGCGCTGAAGGAGCAGCCCGGACAGTGGCTCTCTGTGTGGATGTCTGGCTCCATTGCCCTAGTCCTGGGGAGGGCGTGAAGAGAAGCTTACTTCCTGCTGGTGTTCCCGTTTCTCTTAGAGACTACTCTCACAAACACTGTTACTCTGCTTCCTCTAGGATTTCAGCTCTACACACGAGGAAATGGAGTCACATTCCTGATAAGAAGTTATTTTCCCAGGACAAAGAAACAGACTGAGACTAATAGGTTAAAAAGACATGCAAAAGTGGGGGGAGGAGCAGACAGGGAAGACTTTCTTGTTCAGTGAATTATCTTAAAAAATGGCAAGAAAAAGAAGAGCATTTTGTCTTTCATTTTAAGATAGTGGTTAGCCAATGAAAGACAAGACAGCCTGTGGCAGTAAAGCAAGCCCAAGCCCAGGGACTGTGCAGAGGGCTATGACACAGCAAGGGGTGCGGGACCTCGCCAGCAAAGAGCTGCTACAAGTGGCCAGAAGCACTAGAGGGGAAGACTGGTCTGTCCCTTCTCCATCCGTCAGTCTCCTGTATGACCATATTCCTCTGGACCCAACTAAGAACCTACTTCTGCTAAGGTTAGGGATATGCACCCCCAACCCCCCCCAACACATACTTGATGCTGTCGGTGTGGGTTTTGTATTCCATAATGGTGTTGGGAGGTAGGTTAAGCACTCGCCGAAGTGTATCCCGGATTCGGGCTGTGGTTGCTTGGTCGCTGGCAGTCTTATTCCATATTGAAATAATGTCCTCCTACAGGAGGAACAGAGGGACTCATCAAACAACCGAAGGCAGCAAGGAGAGCAAAGGCAACACATGAAACCAGACCTGCCCCAGACCTTACCTGAAACCGGACAGAGACCACAGCCCCACAGATCTCCTCCCCAACCATGAACTGTTCCCCCAACATGGCTAGGATGAGATTCTCCCAGCAACGGGATGCCAAGCCCTTCCGCAGCCGAATGATCCACTTGCCACCATTTTTATTTGCATCATCCTACAAGAAGACAGAGAGCAGTAAGGTATTAATGTGGCTTCACAGCTCTTCTCTCTTCTGCATGAACACTAAGAGGTCTTGTCATTTTCCAATTATTCAACTTCATAGAAAAAATGCTGGTAGGGAGAAGAGACAGAAAAGAAAGAAAAACAAGCCCTGACTGGTTGCTCCATGGTTAGAGCATCGGCCCACGGACCAATGAGTCACGAGTTCGATTCCAGTCAAGGGCACATACCTCAGTTGTGGTTCATGCCCAGCCCTGGTCAGGTCGGGCAGGAGGCAACCAGTCAATGTAGCTCTCTCACATCAATGTTTCTCCTTCCCACTCTATCTGATGATAAACAGATAAATATCCTTGGGTGAGGATTAAAAAAATAATAATAATTAAAAAAAGAAGGAAAAACAAGATCCCTATAAAAGCCATTACAAAAAATGACCCTTTAAAAAGAATCCTGCCCTGGCTGGAGGGCTCAGTTGCTTGGAGCATCGTCCCATACACCAAAAGGTGTGGGTTCGATTTCTGGTCAGGGCACACACCTAGGTTGTGGCTCTGATCCCCAGTTGGGGCACATATGGGAGGCGACCAATGTTTCTCTCTCCCTCTCCCCCCACTTCCAGTCTCTCTAAAATCAATAAAATCATATCCTCAGGTGAGGATTAAAAAAAAAAGAATCCTCTTTTTTGAAACTACTTTAGGAATCAAAATGAAATGGTCAGATTTCAAACACAGATCATTCCTCACTTTGTTTGCTAAGGACTGACTAGGTGTCATCATGTCCCACAAACAGACAGGAAGTCACAATCTCTCCCAGACCCAGTCCAGCTGAGGAGATAGACAAGAACATCAATTGCAGCAGTACAGTCTGTCGAGCGCTGCATCAGAGATGCGCAGTGAAGAATGAGACTGCCAGAAACACTCAGGAGGAAACGTTTACACTGGGTCTTGCGGGACCCAGTCAGCCAGGCAGAGCAGGCTGAAGGAGCTGCCGCACTGGGAAGAACATGTCTGTGCACAGACTCTGAGTGTGAGAAGGGAAAGGCAAAGGAAGGTCCAGCAGCACCGAAGGAAGATCTAGAGATGATGGGAGACAGGGCCTGAAGGGTAGATTAGCTGCAAGATCACGTGAGCAATGGAGAACTGCATAACATTTAAAATTTTTATTTGGGGTGTGTGTGATCACATTTGTCTAATAGAAGAAGGCCATGGCATCAGAATAAAAGATGGATTTAGCAAAGGGGAAGAGAGCACAAAGTTCAGCTCTGGGTCTCCAGTTACTGCCTGTAAGCTTATTTTTTACCCACTTTGATCATAAGTATACTATGGTAATATCCTACACACACAGCCAGTTCAATGGGAATAAGGGTAATTAAAACAAAACAAACCCCATCCTTTAATGATGTTACAGTACCACTTTAGAGGTGAAACAATCTTTCAAAACCACCCAGCACCAACACACCCAGACAAGCCACTGCACCAGTGTCTTTTCCTGGAGGCCTCAGTTCTAAGGATGTACCAAACAGTGATGCAGTTTTGAGAGAAGACTGTACAGTACTTTTAACTTTGGCAGGGCTAAAAAAAAAAAACCCCAAAAACAAAAACCAACTTGCTCAGAAAAGCAGTCTGAGGCCCCCAGTCCTCACCTCCCACATGGGTTTAATTCCTTCTTTGAAGAGATGGAAGTCGCTGTGGCCTGTCAGGTCCCCGGGACGTACCATGTGGCTGTAAAACCTCCAGAACTGCTCCACCTGTGAAGAGAGGGTGCCAGAGCACAGAAGATATGACTTTTATTTTTCTTTCATTGAATGCAAGACTTATCTAAGAGAAAAGCATAAACATAGGAGACACACTGTTACAGGCTATACTTCTGACGGATACATTTTCATTTGGAGGACTGTGTGGGAGGAAAGGCATGTTAGACGAAAGCATATGGTATATTTGCATAAAATAAAAACGTAATATTGTTGATACAAGAACTCTCGAGGTGATAAATGCCAGCCTCAGCCAGGATCCTCAGCTGGTGAAGTCACACCAGTCAATACGCTCCCTCCCGCAGAGACCACAGGATAACTGTGAAATCTGTAAGACTGTTTTACACAGTGGAAAACCGTTAGTCCTGAAATATATTAAGTGCCACATAACCTCAGTCTGAATGTATTTTTTTAGAACCAAATCACCTCTTGATCAAAGACTGTTTACTCAAATATAGCATTAGCTACAATGAAACACATTTTAGTTCTGCTTAGTTACTAAGCACTGTGATAGAATCAACCACACACACTAGGCCACAGCATGGTGCCTCTTTCTAAGGCCAGGATAGTCCAAAAGCAGGCAGGACTTAGCCTCTCATACTGAGGGTCTAAGTCCCTCACTCACACACACACACTCATTTACAGTTTACATTCAATATTATTCTGTATTAGTTTCAGGCATACAGCACACGGGTTAGACAACCATACACTTTACAAAGTGGTCACCCTGACATTTCCAGTACCCACCTGGCACCTTACAGTTATTATAGTATTTGTTACTATATTTCCTATGCTGTATTTTACATCACCATGACTATTTTGTAGCCACCAATTAGCACTTCTTAATCCCTTCATCTTTTTCACCCAGCCCCCAAACCCCCTCCCCTCTGACAACAGTCTGTTCTATTAAGTCCCTCTTAGCCAGAACATTCTTCTCCTTGCCCCTCCTTTATAGTCCTGTTAGAGAAGCAGACACACTTCCCTACCAAATGTATGCTTCTTCATACTCCGCGCTAGTCCTGTTCCTCAGTGGTGCCTGAGACATGACTCCCTATTCCTGTGACTCCCAGAGGACACCTACAGTCCTGGCCAGTGAAGAGGCAACTTTAAGAGGAAAGAGATGTGGAACAGTCTAGAGAGAAATCGTTGGTTTTTGCCAACACAGTGCCCAGGAGGCTCTAAACAAACTCACAGCAAGACATCAGACTGTGTAGCTGAAAATGGGTATTGAGTACACAGAGATTCAGGTCGTATTTCTAGATCTGGGCAGCAACTGAGGAGAAAGAGACCTTACACCGTGTGAAATGGCTGTCCCTTCAGTGCCTCTACAGAACAGGAACACAGGCAGTCTCGTGTTACAAAGAAGTCAGCAATGAATACCATTTGTAGGACTTTAATGCAGTGTCTCATCTCAGCAACTGCTATGCTTAACTGTGTAAGGGATAAGAAGTGGTCATATGTATACAATGAGCAATATTTTTTCACCTGAACACAGTGGAAAGAAATCAAGTGTACACGGTAGAAACTGTGGCTCACTGTGAATTAGAAATTGGAGAGAGGCTGTGGGGAAGAAAGGTACACAAACTATCCCTAGTTCCTCAATCAATCATTCCTTTATTAATGGTTTGGTCTCCTCCAACCTTACAGCCAGACTATTCAACCTTACAGTCACAATCTCATATCTAAACCATGAGAGATGAAGTAAGCAGCTCAAGAAACATTATTAAATTTTGAAAGATTTTTTTTCCTTCTCTTTAGGCAATTTTGGTTTCTGAAACTCTTAATCGAAACAAAAATATGAAAGTGTTTAGACTCAGAATACGAGGTGCAGAAAAGATCTCAGAGCTACCTTACTCATTGTAGAGCTGAAACAATGGTTTCAGAACTTGCCCCAGCTCACATGACCAAGCACGGGAATAGATAAGCCTTGTGACCCCCCCACCCCCACCGTGTCCAGCGCTCTTCCCACTTTAAAACACTGCCTTCTTAGTCACCTTGACTTCAAGAACTTTTACTTGTTGTTAAACACTAGAATTAAGGACAAATGGGAAATACTGCTTTGGATTTAATAAAAGGTTTTCCAATAAAATTATTTCGCTTTTCTTAATGAATTACATGACAGTGGACTTTATTTTTTTGTGTGGAAGTGATGTACAGCCCACATCAAGAGTGGAGGCAGATGAGGGCACTCCCAGATCAGCAGTCATCCTAACAGCCCAGGTTGCTAAACTGGGCTTCACTGACAAGAAAGAAATCTCTACCTTGTTTAAGCCGTTGATATTTGGAATTTTCTTGACAGTGGACTTTAGACACTGCCACACATCCAGTGAGCACTGAAGCAGCATTAACCCGAGATGATGCTAATGACAAACTCCATTCAACTTAATATATATGCCAAAAGAGAAGGAAACAAAAACCCTCCTTTCACAGGTTGGGTAACTTCATATATACTTTTCTTAAGAGGGAAAGCCCTGGCCAGTTTGGCTCAGTGGTTAGCACATTGGCCCACTGACTGAGAGGCCATGGGTTCGATTTCAGTCAAGGGTCCATATCTGGGTTGTACCAAAATCAGACAAAGAATTCATGAGATCAATATTCCTCATGAATAAGTTTCTAAATTTTGAGTAAGGTTTTTAAAAACAGTGTGATAGTTTTTTTCTTCTTTTTTATCCTCACCCGAGGACATTTTTGCATTTATCTCCAGATAGTGCGGGAGGGAGAGAGGGAGGAAGAGAAACAGAGAAACATCGATGTGAAAGAGACACATCAACTGGCTGCCACTCCCACGACCCCAACCGGGGCCAGGGATGAACCGCAACCGAGGTACGTACCCTTAGCAGGAACCAAACCCAGGGCTCTCTGGTCTGCAGGCCGATGCTCTAACCGCTGAGCGAAACTGGCCAGGGTGATAGTCTTTATTTTTATTATTTTTATATGTATTTATTGATTTTTTTAGAGAAAAAGGAAAGGAGAGATAGAAACATCGATGTGAGAGAGAAACACGGATCAGCTGCCTCCTGCAGGCCCCCTACTAGGGATCGAGCCCACAACCCAGGCATGTGCCCTGACTGGGAACTGAACTGGAACCTCTCAGTCCATGGGACAACACTCAATCCACTGAGCCACACCGGCTGGGCTCAACAAACATTTCTTGAACCAAAAATGCACCAGTGCACAAGCTATTTTTAGTATTTCAAAAGAGCTTAAATTTACCAGTGATAAGGGAGCATATATCAACTCAGTACAGTAATCAGATGACCTGGTCATCAGTTATATGTGTAATACACCTGGTTAACAATAAACAAATAAATATAGCTTGTCTAGTAAGCAAACATTTTAAAAACGGGAGCTTCACCCTGGTGGTTTGGCTCAGCAGTTAGAGCATCCGTCCTTGGACCGAAGGGTCTCAGGTTCTATTCTGGGTCAAGAGCACATACCGGGTTGCAGGTACAATCCCAATCCCCAGCCCTGGTCGCTGTCATTTGGGAGGCAACCAATTGATGTGTCTCTCTCACATCGATGTTTCTCTCTCTCTCTTCCTCCCTCCCTCCTGATCTATAAATCAATAAAAAAATATCCTTAGGTGAGGATTAACAAAATAAGTAAGTAAACAAACAAACAATAACTGGAACTTTGTGTCACGCATTCTGACACACTGCAAGAGTGAGAGGACACCGGCTTTGGAATGGAGCTTTTACCGCCTGCCCAACGTGAGTTTCAGTACTCGTTCCTCCACTCAGTCAAGGAAATTACAACTGACTTGGGACTTTAGATCAGGCACTTAACAAGTTTCACTTTTCTTATTTGTGAAATCTGGGGAATATTACTGACCTCAAAAGACTATCATAATGATCTAAGGAAGTTACACAAAGTGCCTATTACTGTGTCCTTCCCCTGGACTACTTTACTGCTACATTTGCTGCCTATTACAGTTCCCTTTTCTACTGTCTGTATTCTAAACAGGGCAGATACCCCAAGAATTTCAAGAAAATAAGAAAGCCTGCATTTGGTTCTGCCCAGAGAGGGAATGTATAGCACATAGGAAGTGCATAATGACCTTTGTTGAACACGACTGGTTTTAGTTGCAGACAGTTTCTCGGAATAAAAACCTAACTACCAGGGAGGGAGAAAAGACAGTATCCACAGAAGCAATTATTAGAGATTTCATTTTCCTTTTTTTTTTAAATCCTCACCTGTGGATATTTTTCCATTTATCTTCAGATAGAGTCGGAGGAAGAGAGAAAGAGGGAGAGAACCATCACCATGAGAAAGATATAACGACTGGTTGCCTCCCGCATGACACTGGCCAGGGCCAGGAACCGAACCGCAACCAAGGTACGTGCCCTTGACCGGAATCAAACCCGCAGCTCTATTCCAAGGGGTGACGCTCTACCCGCTGGGCCAAACCAACCAGGGCAAGATTTCATTTTCTTTCTGAAGACAGGAAAAAAATGCTACTTGATACATAACCACTAACAGATCCAAAACTCTAATGAAAGGTTCTTAAATACAAAAGAAACTTTTGAACTTTACTCTTGACTTAACCATCAAGGTTCATGAGAACAGACACCATGTACTATAAAATTTTAGCCCTGGCCAGTGTGGTTCAGTTGGTTGGAGCATCCTCCCGTGCACCAAAGGGTCTCGAGTTTAATTCCATAAGGGCACATACCCATGTTGCAGGTTTGATTCCCAGCTGGGGTTTGTACATCAATCAGAGGCAGCTGACTGATGTTTCTCTTTCTTCTCCTGTCCACCCTCCCACCCCCGCTCTCTAAAATCAATTTAAAAAATTAAAAAAAAAAGTTATTGATATTTTAGAGAGGGGAAGGGAGAGACAGAAACATTGATTGGCTGCCTCTTGCACGCCCCCTACTGGGGATTGAGCCCACGACTCAGGCATATGCCCTGACTGAGAACTGAACCAGAACCTCTCAGTCCATGGGACGACACTCAATCCACTGAGCCACACTGGCCAGGCTAAAAAAAATTTTTTTATATCCCTCACAACCCAGACACTTTGCACATAGTAAGGGCTCAATAAATATCGACTTAAACCTGTATTTTTGTGTTGTCTCCTTCTGATCAATTCCCCAATTCATATACTAGTTACCTATGGATATCTAATGAGAAACCTAATAATGAACAAATCTGGCCTCAGGGATTCAGGTCAGTTGACTAAGGAAACCAGTGTCCTACAGGTTACTAGGAGGATAAAGAAACATGATATAAATACACACTTCAAATTTATTACTAAGGTTCACTAAGTACTCACAGAAGCAAAGGTGCCAATCTGTTTGATATTCTGTTCATAGCTCTGTGAACTAGTGGGTCGGCCGGGGGTTCTCCTGGAGTACCAGAAAGTATAGTTGTACTGCAAGGGATGCTCTGCTGGTCCCGGGACAACAGCCTGTAAAGAAGATGTGTTAGTCCTGGCCACTTTCACATGCTCTGAGATTGTGAAAACATTTTACAGCAACACCCATTTTAAAAGGATACGTGATCAATTACCTGCAATGTACCCAAGATTCTGCTCACACAGCACATTTCTATGGTAGTTAACTGATTCTAAGTTCCTGTAGCATTTTACCTCTGTTCTTATGGCTTTTGTAACTTTCTACGTCATAACATAGATATTTGTGTTTGTATCTTGTCTCAACATATTCCCAGGTCCAGCACTGCCTCCTCTGAGACTCTATTACTTACTGGCTAGTGACCTAAGGCAAGTTGTTTAACCTGTTTGTGCCTCAGCTACTTATCTGAAAAGTGGGGTAAATAATAATCATCATCTCATGGGGGTGCTGAGATGATTAAATAAATTAACAGATGTAAAGTGCTTAGCACAGTGCTTGACACACAGGAAGTACTCAATAAATGTCAGCTACTATCACCTCCACTATTAAATGATAGCTCCTTGATCCAGTTTCATTCACCTTTGTGTCCCCTTAGCACCTAAAATGCATGTATTTGGAGGGTACTCAATATTGTAGAATAAAGCAATTAAGGATTGCTTTGATTTTTCAAGAAAGAATTTGATCCATCTATTTCTCATTCTCTAAATTTTCTTTCTTTCTTTCTTTTAAAATCTTCACTTGAGGATATATTTTTTTACATTTATCTTCAGATAGAGATGGAGGGAGAAAGGGAGGAAGAGAGAGAGAGAGAAACATCGATGTGAGAAAAACACATACCAATTGGTTGCCACCCGCACAACCCCAACCGGGGCTGGGGACGAAGTGCAACTGAGATACGTGTCCTTGGCTGAACTGAACCCGAGACTCTTTGGTCTGGGGGCCAACGCTCTTACCGCTGAGCCATATTGGCCAGGGCTATATTTTCTCTTTCCCAAGTCACTTCTAGTTTCCAGGGGTGCAAAATGACCAGCCCTCAGGCCACATAAGGCCCACAAAATCAATACCAGCTAACCCCACACACCTCACCAAACTAGCCTGACCAAATACAGCAGGCTAATTTTTAAGTTGATTATTTTGCATGGCTCTCGAATATAAATATCCAATGGTCCTTGGGAGAAAAAAAGTTTCCCCACTCCTGGTGAGACTATTACTGACTAAAGAGTCTAAAATTTCATGGGACGTGCAGGATTTGAAATACTCGGCAGCAAGTAACGCCTTATTATCTCCAGAGTCATTCCCCCCTATCTCGGGCAGAATGCAGGGGGAAAGCAAGGTGGCATCTCAAGATTCTGTGGTAGGGAAAAGTTCTGAGCCCCAAAATGATCTCCAGTGATTCTTGAGAACAAAATCAGGTATTACAAACAGTGTGCAATCCAGTTAATCTGGTATCTTCCAGATAAAGATTCCATGAGATAACCAAGTCTCAAGACCCAAGGCAACTATCTCTGTGCAGAACAAAACTCACCTTCCTCTTGCTGCTGCTCTGACCTTTGTCTCGTTCCGTTTTTTCCTTCTCACCATCTTTCTGTGTGCTGTTTTCTTCATTCTGATCATGGTCCCCACTGTCATCATCTTTCAATCTAAGCAGAGAGGCAAAACAATGTTATCCCATGACTGAACTGATTCTTGCTTAACTAACAAAGCCACCAGGTCAAATGAACTACCGTGGAACTGCCCCGAAGTCACTCAAAATACTGCCAATGAGATGGGAAAAGGGCAAGGAAATGTAGAAAGTCAACGAGGAGGATTAAACAAAAATGAAAGGCCCATCAGTTAACATGTGAATTCCAGAAAGTACCATTTTCCAGTTGCCTAACAGGCTGCACAAAAAAGCAAGAGGTAAATAGTTTAAGGGATGGTTTTCTTGACCAAAAACAGTCAATAATCAGAAGAGTGTCTGGATTAAGTAACTGCTTTGACAATTCAAATGAAGTTTAAAAACTTACTTATCCTTCTTGCCACTTCTGACCATCTCTCCTGTCCTTCCCCACTGCTACTGGTTTAGCCCAGGCCCTCTTCTTGTAATCTCAATTATTACAATAAACTCCTAAATGGTCTCCCAACACGAATCAACTATCCATCCTCCACATATCCACCAGCATGACCTTCCTAAGTGCAAACGGCCCGTTTCACTTCCATGCTTAAAACTCTTAATTGTCCCTCGCTCTTTGATGTCCACCCACAGTGTCTATTAATCTTTGTACCTCTAGCACGTAGGACAGGAAGATGCTGAATCAATGATAAATGTAAAAAAAAAAAAAAAAAAAAAAAAAAGAAATTAGAAGAAATGAATGACTTCTTGCCTTATAAGTACAGTCAAATATACTGCAGAAGCTACCTTTTTAGGAGCAAGTGAAACTACCCTAAGGCTTTCAGGTACACCTGAAGTTCACTGGGTTCACACAAAAAGAAAAGCAGAAGGTGAATTCACAAAGATAATAAGAATGCTGCTTAGCCCTGGCCAGTTTGGCTCAGCGGTTGGAACGTCGGCCTGCGGACCAGAGTCCAGGGTTCGGTTCCCGCTAGGGACACATACCAAAAAATAAAAAAATAAAAGAAATATGCTTAGTCTAGAGTTGGACCATTAATTTATCATGGATATTCTCTGAAATCACCTTTCTGGCCCTAATGACTATCTAGTCAAATGGAATTAGGCAACTCTCAAGAAAGGTACTAGAAATGCTCAAATTACAACTCATATTACCCTGCACAGATACAGAAACCTTTTGTAAAGAATTTTACCTTTTTTTTGCCCATGAATCGTCACTGCCTACCACATAAAAAGCATTCAATAAATATTAGAATTCATGAGCTAGCCATGTGTTGGGGTCCCTGCTCTGCCCATTTCTCAGCCCTAGCTACAGGATATACCCAGGTGACTGACCAGGCACTGTGCCATAAATGTCCCCATCCCCATCTTAGAAAAGACATGACTATGAAGGGCACCTGACCAATGGGCAGTCTAACCTGGCCAATAACCTATGCCTCAGGGCCTTGCTCAAAATTATGAGCAGATTCCTTCCTCAGTTTTCATCTAAAAGATGAACAATCACACAAGAGTCAGAGTTGGGGCAGGCATATGGGTCTCACACAAGAAAAGCCACAAGGGAATAAAGACAATGAGTGAAAGCAGAGACAGCCAGTTGCAGGGAAAGGAATGGAGCAGAGGAGCAGAGAGAGTAGAGACTGGCTTTGTTTGTGATGCTGTCATTTCACTGGCTTCCTTTGGCCTCCCTGGATTTCTGGGATATCCCTTCCCCTTATGAAACTTGAGTTGGTTTCATCTCCTTTCCCAAAGGAGCCTGTCTAGCACGCAAGTCTAGCAGCTACTGTTGGTATCAGACACTACAGAGTGCCTGTCCCCAAGGACCTGATTGAGGAGGCACACACACACTCAGGCCTCAGCATGGTACAAAGGCCCCTGCTCTACCTACATGTGCCAATAAGACTTCTTGCCTGGTCCCAACAGACTCCCTTCACTGTAGTGATCAACCTATTTGCAGTTCTCTAACCTCACCTCTGTTAAGCTCATTAGGTGGTTTCTCAGAGATCCCTCTTCCCCTACTTAAACTGTCCTTCAAGACTGAGAGTGAGGGCCACTTTCTCTTGGAAATATTTCCTAATCTCTCCCTAGACCGAACCTAGGCTCCCCTCTTCTGGACCTCCCCTAATAAATGTTTGTAGTTGTCCCAGCTGTACTGTCATGGCCAGTTTTTTGTCTCCTGATTAAGAACATCTCATGGCACCCTGGCCAGTGTGGCTCAGTTGGCTGGAGCATCCTCCTGTGTACCAAAAGGCAGCGGGTTCAACTCCCAGTCAGGGCACACACTCAGGCTGCAGGTTTGATCCCTGGTTGGGGTGCTTGTGGGAGGCAACTGATAAATATTTCTCTCTCCCATCGATGTTTCTCTCTCCTTTCCTTCCTCTAAGATCAATAAATAATAATAATTTAAAAAAATTTTTAAAAAAGAACATCTGGGTTTTTCTATTGCTTCGGTCCATAAGAGCTCCTAACTCTTTCTTAGAGCCTACTTCAGGGCCTTGAACCATTTCCCTCCCTTCTCAGCTCCTAAACCCCACTATGTCCTCCAGCACCTCTCATTTTGCTATTCCAAACAACACATGTAAGTTCCTTTCTTTTTAGTGGTTGTGCTGCTAATTACTGCTAGAAAACAGAAAAGTAACAACAAAAATAATCATGTCGAGAAGAAACAGCACTAGTGTGATCCCCGAACCATATTTTCCGACATCCTATGGACCTTCATCTTGGCCAGTTATTTCTTCAGGGTGGAGCTAACCAGCCACCTACCCTCTGAGCCTACACTTAAGGCAAGCCATTTGCTTCCTAGCTTCCAGAGGTTACCCTTCGAAGTGTTAAGCTGGAATTGAGCCAAAATACAATCCAGACTGAAAAATCAGGTGGGCAATTAGTATCCCTGAAGCTGTCCAGACTGAGTGGCACCTAATTAGCTCACCAAGCTCTAGCACAGGTATGTCCTCATACTTTCTGACTAGACAGATTCCTTGTGGGTAAGAACTTGGTCTAATTTATCTTTATATGTCTAGCACCAGACAGCGGCAGAAAACAAACATGTTTAGTGAATGGCTTTCTAAAATCAAAGCAATACAAGGCAGAATAGGACGAGTGCCAAATAAGTGGTTCAGACGACAGTTAAGAACGGGCCAAAGCTAACAAAGACAGAGGAGGGACAAAATCAAGTCTGGCATCTAGATCTGAAAACCAAGCTAATCACAGAGGGACTGCAGTACAGTGAAAGCATCTTAGAGTTTTGAATGTGAATAGGCTCAATGGCAATGGTGGCTAATGACTTGATAGATGTAGGGGACAGGGAGCAATTACAGTCTCTAGTTACTTTTGTAGAAGTGGAACCCACACAGTAAAGGGGGCTCGAGTTCTTCATTAATCGGAGCCCATCAGATTAGACTTCAGTATTCAGCCCCAGGCACTGGACTTTCAGGATTCTGGCAAATTGAACCAAGTCCTTAGGAACCATTGGTGAAGCGTACAGAAGCCAACATGCAACAAGGTCTAAAAACTGCAGTTTTTGTGAAAACAAAAACAACAAAAGCAAAACTAGGGGCAGGAGTGCTATCTTTGATTGCTAATTTCAAATGAAAGAAAGTTTTGTTCTTTTCCTGCATAGCTAGAAGACAGATGTTAAAAAAGTCTGGCTCATTATAAGGAATAGTTAATAATTACAACTAATTAAAAATGACCCTGGTTAATTTTTTTTTAAATTTTTTTTCTTTATTGATTTTTAAAGAGAGGAAGGGAGAGGGAGAGAGAGAGACAGAAACATCAATGAGAGAGAACATCAATTGGCCGCCTCCTGCATGTCCCCCCACTGGGGATTTGGCCCACAACCTGGGCTTGTGCCCTGACCAGGAATCGAACTGGAGACCTCTTGATGCATGGGTTGATGCTCAACCACTGAGCCACACACCAGCCGGGTGACCCTGGTTAATTTTTGTTAAGAGGTGCTTGAGCCAAGGGTAAAGAACAAATCTGAGTTTGAATCCCACCATATGACCCTTTCTGTTGTGGGCAAGCTACTTAACCTCAGAGAGCCTCATTTCCTCATCTGTAAAAGGAGGTAATAAGATCCCCTTTTGCAGGGTTGTTAGACGTAGAAATAATATAAGAAATGTACCTAGCAAGCAGCCCTTGGAAGTCATTACCGCCATTCTTAAATTAGATTATTGCAGACCTCCAAATGATTTGGGTAGGACTGGGTCAGATGACCCTTAAAGTGTCTTTGGATAAAATTTTGATTTGTTCAATTTAGCGGATAAAGGGGTACAGGTTAGGCAGACAGCTCCACTGAGGCAGGCCTTAGATCTGCGCTGGGTGTTGCAGGGTTTATGATGGGGAGGGGAGGAGAGAGGCTCAGCTAAGCAGCAGATGCAGCGGTGCTCTGCCAGACTCCTAGAAGGCCCCTCTCCACAACCAAGACCCATTTCTGAGGAGCTGCCTGGAGTGTTGGAACCCAGGATCTCTGAATATGCACACCACCATTCACTGTACTGGAAAAAACCCAATTCCCCATATCAGCAGCCGACCTAAATTAATAGTGATTCCACTTTACATTTATACATCACCATGTAGCAACTTACAAAATACCATTAAGCAAAGCTGAAAGTAAGTTGACCCTTATAACACCCCTGTATGGTAGCGGGGTACAACCACTAATGTGGCTTGGGTAACCCCAGCTCAGAGATTGGGTAACTTTTCTGCTGTCAGGTAACTAGTAACTGGTGGGTCTGGGATTGGAAAGCGCAGTCAGATTTACTAGACTACTAGAAGAGCTAAGGACATAATCTACTTTAAGATGCAATCAATGGAGAGAAATACGCCAAATTACTTCTATTTCCTTTCTGCGCCTCCTGGTCGTTTGCTGCTGGAACCAGAAAACAGGTGGGAGAGCTACAGAAGTCTGGAATGGGGCCCTGACAAGTATACCCGCTGGGCAAGAAACTGAGCAGCCCTGGGGAGGGTGTGGAAGGGAGGAGGAGGGGAGAGAGGAAGTGGGAAGAAGTCTCAGGAAGGAGAGCTCCGGCCAGCAGCAGCCACCGTGCAGAGCGCAGCCGCCGCAGTACCCCGCCGCGTCTCCACAGCGCGACCACGGGCTCTGCTGCCGCCCCCATTTGCAGACGAGAAAACTGAGGCTCAGAGGGGAGCGGTGACCTGCCCAGGCCGGGGTGTGTGACGAAAGCTGGATTCAGAAACCCCGAGGCAGCCGGGCAGAGGAAACACCCAAACCCTCCACGCCGCCGGCAACCCGCACCCCGGGGCGCGGCGTCCGAAAGTCGCCGTCCGGGCGGCACAGCCAGCCCCGTCCGCGCCGCCGCGCTTCGCGGTCCGTCCAGACTGCTCTGGGGTCCCCGGGACCCTTGCACCCTGCCTCCCCAGCTCCGTCCTCCCGCCGCCGCCTGGGCCGGCTCCAGCCCGCAGCCCGAGCCCGGAGGGAGGCCGGCGCCGCCAGGCGCGCGGGGAACGGTTGGGGGAAGGGGCCCAGGAGGCGGCCGCACGCCACTCACGCGTCGAACTTGTTGTTCATCCTCTCGCCGTCGCCACTGCCTCACGGAGTGACTTCCGCTCCGCCGGTCCCTCCGCCTAGGGCCCGGCCACTTCCGGTTGCGCGGGGAGCGGCGGAACGTAGGCGCGCCGGCCCGGTGGGGGCGGAAATCCCGGGACGCCCGCCCAGGGCGGCTGCGCGCAGTGCTGGGACTCGGCGGCGGTACCCGGCGGCGCCCGCCCTGCGCTCCAGGGACTCACCCGCCGCAGCCCGCGGGCTCGGCCCTCCGCAGGCAGGCTCGGGAAAGCGGCGCCGGAGCGCCGGCCCTGGACTCGCCTCCCGACCCCCGCCCCAGAGCGGGCCCAACGATCCCGGGCTCCGAACCTGTCCGGGGCAGTTTATTCCTTTGAGACGGGCGGTTCTGTGCTGTGGTACCTGCCTCTTCGGGTTGCCGTGGGATTGAACCAGACAATCAGTGTCAGGCGCTAGACTTCCTCTCCCTAAAGGAGTGGTAGCTGCTGTTAATCGTTGCTTTCTTGGGCCGGGGGTACAGAACTAACCTCCGTCCCCTGAAGCCGTCAGGGCCAGAGACTCATCCCAGGTGATAAAGGTCGTACTAGGCTTTCGGGAACCTGAGCTGGTTCCGCCATCATCAGATTGCCCCCTGGGTGAGGTCTCTGCTCCAAACACGCAGCGGGCGCGCACACGCACACACTGGACTAAAGGAAACGAACCCGCAGGCGATTGAGCCCCCAAACCATTGGAAGAAGGGATTATTTCCGGGATCCTCTACCCTCCCCCCAACATTGTCTCATTGTCAAGTCTTTATATGGCACTTCCACATTTTTTAATCGCCTTCATCCACACCTTTGACCCTGTGATGAGGGTAGATAGGAACTGATATCTGTGCCCATAGTTACAGTTGCGGAAACAGACTCAGGGGCCACAAATGACTTGTTCGAGTTTACCCTATCAGGGTTCATCTGTACTCTCTCTTTTTTTTTTTTTTTTTATCCTCACCCGAGGACACTTTTCCATTTTTTGTACAGATAGAGTGGGAGGGAGAGGAAGAGAGAGAGAGAGAGAAACATCGACATGAAAGGGACACATCTAGTGGCTGCCACCCACACGACCAACCAGGGCCGGGGACAAACTGCAACTGAGGTACATGCCCTTAGCGGGAACCGAACCTGGTCTCTCCGGACCGCAGGCTGATGCTCTAACCGCTGAGCCAAACCGGCCAGGGCTCATCTGTACTCTCAAAGCAGGGTTGGCCAGGGTCTCTCCTCCCTAAAGGCAGAGCCCAGCAGTTCCCTGTACCTCCCAGCCTTCTTACCTAGCTCTTCCTTAAGCATCTGGTGGGACCAGTGTAAATTCCCTGGCCTTTGAGAAGAGAAGGAAGAGGAGTCTGTTTTCCAGGCTGTGGACTCTTTCTTAGAATGTCTACAACTGGGTCAGAGTTGGGAATTATGGACTCCAAACCATAAAGCCACCAGTGTTCTGGGAAGCCCCTCTTACTCTGGGCCCCAATTTGTCCATCTGAAGCATAAGTATATAGTGACTGTTGCTTTTCCATGATGCTGTGAGGAGCTCTTAATAGAAAAAAATAATAAAACTCATATGTTGTGATCAATGGCAAAAAATGCACATGAATAGAAAGATCACTGGTGCAGATGAGTACTGGGTGCTTACTGCACCCAAAGGCAGGGGAGGGAGATGGCAGTTGGGGTGGGCTGCCATCTTCTTTTGAGAGAGCATTGGCTGCTACTGTTCACATTTCTCTTGACTTCCCTCTTTCAGGAGCCTGCAGGGAACTCAAAAAGGAAGGAAGGCCCAGGCCTGGAGAGAGAGAACCTTACCTGGTTGGGGGCATCATGCAAAATGGGGTCGTTAGGGCTTGAGGAATTATGAGAGTTGATAATGCTTTGCTGAAGTAAGGGGAGTGCCAGGATGAGCTAGCCACTGTCACACGGATGCGGACCCCCCACAGCACACCCTGCCACAGCCCATCCCCAATCACTCCAGGACTCCAGCTCTGTCTCTTTATTTCTCCAGCTCTTCTCAGGGCTGTTTGGCTTCCACGGCCCTGAAGCGTGCTTCCCGAAATGCACACTCCTGACCTCAGCAGAAGAACACAGCTGATAAGACCGAATGGCTAACAGCAGTTGGTTGGCTCAGTCAGGCGAGGGCAGGTAGGGGCGAGGGTCTCCAGGGAATGGCAGGGCAGGCACCCGGTTGTAGTGAGCCATGAGGAAGATGCCAGCAGTGCCACAGACGAAGAGCGAGAGCATGGCCAGGAAGCAGACACGGTCCAGCACTCGGCCCACTAAGAACCACTCCTCGTTCCCCTGAGGGTGGGAGGCAGGGTGTGGGATGGCCAGCGGTGGCACCAAGCCTGGCCTGGATCCCTGGACCATCCTCGGCCTTCCAGTAGGCCTCCATTTCCCTGGGCCCCTCTCACCTACTTCCAAGCCTCAACCGGGCTTCTTCCATGGTCCCCTGGCCCTGATGTCCCCATTCCTCCCCACTCCCAACTCTTCTTTTCCCATCCCATTGCCCTACCATGGTCGCCCCATTCATCCTGCCCCCATGTCAGCTCCCAGCCTCTCACCAGGCAGTCACAGCCCTCTCCCTCCCCTGACTGCATACACTGTCAAAGCGGCTCTGCTGGTGTCGGGCACGGGCAATGAAGTTGCAGGCGTCCACACAGGCCTGGATGGCCGGGGCGGCCTGCTTCAGGCTGCCACACAACTCCTGGCTCTGCCCTGGCTCCGGGCCTTTCTCTGATGAGAGCAGAGGGTCAGGTTTGTGAGCTGAATGAATGGAAGAGCAACAGGCAGAGAAGGCGGCCTCTCCTTAGAAACCCCCGCCCCTCTCTCCCCAACCTGTACACTGGCCCAGCACGATTCTGTGGTGCCTGGTGCTTTGCCGGAGTCCGTGGGGAGTGTGCCCGGTGTCACACCCTCTGCCTCACCTAGTTTCTCCAGCGCTGCCCTCACCAGCCCGTTGCGCTGCCACTGCTGGAAGAGGAGTTCACTGCGAGGCAGGCGGACGGCCGCCTCCTCCCCGCCTGGGGCTGGCCAGCGGGCGGAGGAACCATTCTGCGGCCTGGGCCGGGCGTCCTGCACCGGGGCTGGGGCCAGCGGGCGCACGTGCATCCGCAGCAGCTGGGGCAAGAGCCGCAGGAACACCTGCAGAAGGGATGTTCTGGGTGGCCTGGCTTTCATCCAGGCTGCTTCGGAGCAGAAGCTGACCGGTGGCACGAAAGGCTCGTGCTGCGAGAGGTGGGGGGGGGGGGGGCGGGGGGGCAGCACTAGGGGCAGTGGCTTGGCTCTGATACAGCTCGGCTGTTCTGTCCCAGAGGATGTCCCCAAACTCTTGTGCACATCAGAATCACCAGTGCACATGTTCCAAACACAGGCTCCTGGGCCCCACCCCGCTGTTCTGGCCCGCAATGTGGTGGGTTCTGGGAATCTGCATTAGTGACAAAGGCTGCAGGTGGGCTGCAGATCATACAGCCTCTGGAACCAGACTGCCTCCTTCACTCTCTAGCTGTGTGACCTTAGGCAAGCTACCTAACCTCTCTGTGCCTCATCAGAAGACTGGAGATGATACTAATACCCACTGCACGGGGCTTTTATGAAGATTAAATAAGTTAGCATGTGTAATGTGCCTGCCCCTTGGTGAGCACGTGATATTATTGTTACTCATTGGGCACATACTTCAAGAAACACCCAGGGCAGATTTGCTGCTGAATGTGGCGTGTGAAGAACATGCACAGGGACGGGGTGCTGAGGGAGGGGCATGTCAGCGGACTGGGCGGGGCCTTGCCTTATGGACCCTGCGGGCCATGGAGTGCGTGTGTGGGGACCGCAAGGACACGTTGAGCACGACCACAGCATTCACGACAATGAGGATGGTCACCACCAGGAGGAAGGTCAGGTACCTGCCGGGGTGAGGTGGGCAGGAGGCGGGGCTGGCCCTTCAGCACTTCATCCCCAAGGCCAACCCCACCCTTAGCAGCTGCTCCTCCAGATCCCTTGGGTGAGGGGACAGCATCGGGGGTTGGCAGGAGGGCAGTGCCCAAGAAGGGAGGGGGAGGAGGTGGATGGCAGGTTCGAGGACTGGCCTTACTTGCTGATGAGTGGCACCGCTTGGGAGGTCTCGGGCACCTTCTTAGCCACAAGGAAGAGGAAGACAGTCTGGGCCAAGAGCACGTTGATGGCGACGGTACACTTCTGGCCACCCGCTGCGGGTGACCAAGAGGCTTTCAGGACTAGGTCCCAATCTCCCTGCTGTGGGGCACCTCCCCCCACAAGGAGCCCACTGCCCCTGGTCCTGGCTCCTGGTGCCACTCTGCCCTGCCAGCTGTCCCCAGTGATTGGGGCCAAGGGCTCCCCTCCCGCAGGCTCCAGGTACCCTTGGCAGGAAGGAAGTAGATGAGGATGGCGACAGAGGAGATGAGTACACAGGGTGCGATGATGTTGATGACATAGAAGAGGGGCTTGCGCTGGATGAGCAGGTAGAAGACCACCTTCTGGTGGCCTGCCTCCTCTGCCGGGGACGCAGCGTCCAGCAGCATCTTGGCCGGCCGGTGCCGGATGGCCCACTCGCCGTTCTCTGTGGGCAGCAGGAGGGTGGGCACGGGCAGTGGGCTGGGCAGACCCCTGCCGCGTTCGTATGACCAAAGCGTCGCCATCGAGGGGCAGAAACAGCGAGGGAAATCAGATACTTAATCCCCCTCCCTCCAAATGGGAGTCGTTATCACGAGGAAGATCAGAACTTTGTGGGGTCTTTAGAAACCCCACTTTATGGCTCGCTTAGTCTTCACCTTGAGTTATATGGGAGGGGGTGTGGTCTTGGTCTAGCTCGTCCCTACAGCCAGGTCCAATAGGGGCCCTGGGTGGAGGTTACCTGTGAAGGCCTCAGGGTCAATGAAAATCCACTCGATGGTCTGCCCATCCTCCTGGCTCAGCTGCAGATTGATCTCGTTGGTGCTGTAGGTCTGAGATCTGGGGGCGGGGGGCAGAGAGGACGCCTGAGTGTGTATAGGCCCACCTGTGAGGTGCACGGTATAGTCATCTGTGCGCAGTTTTGCCCCA